AAATAATGTTTTTATTTATTTTAAAATAAACTCTTTAAACAAAACTGTTCCTTTATTAAAAGAAACTTTCTGCTTTTGGACTCAGTTTGCTCATCTCAAATTTTAGCTACTTTCACTAGCTTTTTCATTAACTGCCATTTAGCCAGTTTTTGCTTTTAGTTTTTTTTTCAATTAGCTTTAGTTTTGTTAAATTTAGCTTTAAATTGTAATTAAACTAATATGCCAACAATTTTGCTATAGTTAGCGTTAAGCTATTAAGGCTTTTAGCTATTCTTTTGCTACAGCTTTGTTAAATTAGCTCATTTTATTTTAGTTTGGTTTTAGTTAATTATAGCTTTAGCTKCAGTTTGCTAACTTGTTCTTTTAGCTGTAGTATCTTTTAGTAGTAGCTTTTAGTTGTGGGTTTGCTAATAACTTTTAACATCAGTTGTCTTTTTATCTTTTAGCTGATGTTTTGCTTTTTTAGCTTTTAAGTATGGTTTAGCAAATTCTTTGCTACATGTTTGCTGATTTTAGTTTTTAGCTATGGGTTTGCTACTTGCTGTTTACTTGTTCAATTGATTAGTTTAGCCAGTTCTTACTTTTAGTTTGGATCACAGGTTTTATTTTTATTTAAGAAATCGTCTTTTCTCTGATTCTTTGTCATATTTAAACCTTTGTTTGATCCAGAGGAAATCAGCGAGYAGATGAAAACTTCTTTGCAGTTTTGTCTTCAATCTTCAATCTTTACTTCTGAACTGGCGTTTGGTGTTTTACCTCGTTTACGTCACGTTTRCTCTGATCCGACTCGGTTTATCTGTTTTTCTGCTCATACTGACTCGATCGGCGCCGCCTCCTGCTCTCCGCTTTCATCCTTCATCCTTTGCTTCTCTTTCTGCCAAACTCCCACCTCCTTCGGCTTTCTCATCCCATTGATGGATGATGCGGCGCTGCATTGAGGGCCTCAATCAGAGGAATGTGGGGGGAGGGGGGTGAAGAGCAATCTCAAAGCCAATTCCACTGATAGTCATCATGGGGTGTTGCTACAGAAAGAGAACAGCCTCTGCTGCTTCAGGTGGTTCTTTGATTACACCAGGACACTAACTTTTTTTTGGTGATGATATCAAAGAGGCCAGCTGAGAAATGTATTAGTTTGGAGTTCGGCCATGTTGGCAGCCTCACAGACTCAGCAGAGGCTGATTAAACGAGCGCTCTATCAGGTGCATTGTTGCTCTTAAATGCTGCTTCATTTTGGTCAGATGTCCTGAAGCTGCAGCTCTCTGAACATTTGCATCTGAAATATAGACGCTGGTTTTCAGACCGGCCATTTAAAATCTTTTTTTTTTTTCTTTTTTGCCTGTTTGATTTTAACCGGAGAGGTGTGCATTGACAACTCTTTCCTTCAGACCACCTTCAGAAGTGGTCTGGACCTCTTTTATCTGCCTGTTTGATAGTCTTAACACAGTCTGTCCAGAGCCAAGCTGCACAACCTCCTGCTGAAGGGCTCAGGGTTAAATTAAATGTGCTTGTTTTAAGTAAAATAATAATAATTCAGCATAATCCAACATTTTGTTCAAATTAATAATTAGTTTGTCCTAAGTTTAAAAAATGTGACTGGACACCAACCACCACATTTATGTGTTTACCCATGGAAACGTCCGAAGCAACTAAAGACAGGTGCATAGAGGGAGTTTCTTGGGTGTGGGCGGAGTTTGGCAAAACTTTGATTGGTGGGGTTCTTGGGTGTGGGCGGACTTCGGCTAAACCTTGATTGGCAAAGGTCTTGGGTCTGGGCAGAGTTTGACAAAACTTTGATTGGTGGGGTTCTTGGGTGTGGGCGGAGTTTGGCAGTGCTTTGATTGGTGAAGTTCCTGGGTGTGGGCGGAGTTTGACAAAACTTGGCTTTTGAAAGCTTTTAAATTCAAACCATTTACTGTGTTTGTTCCCTCCACAGACCATTCTAATGCAGGTAAATCGCGTGACTCAAGCTTCCATCTGGTTTTCCTTGGGAATATTTTGAAGATARAGGATTGTTTTGGTTGGTTTTGTTGTTGGTTTTCGGCTAAACATTTGAATTAGTTTGGWTTTTATTTATCAGAGTATGAAACTCTTGCTCTGGTTGTTTWGGYACCCACTGTGGTCACGCTGGGCTARGAGATGAACTGATCASAATTATGTCACTGTATGTTCACCTAATCTACCTACAACAGGTGACATTTGTCAACTCGTAAATTTTTATATTTTAATCTTTGCTCCGACTGAGCTCTCTAAACTTTGTCCACATGGTTTTATTTGTTTTATATTGAGTCTGTTAGGCTTATTAAGAGATAACTTTACATAATGTAACTCAAATGGCTCTAAATAGTGTTAATGTTTATAAAGTTCGCGTGTTTTTATTCCCAGGTGTCTTGTTAAAATGTTAAAGAAGAACCGAAGCAGTGATTTCAATCTGTTTATCCACAGTCAGACTTTATTTACTCTTGCTGGATTCTTATTGGAATCTGATCCAGTTTTATGGCCTCCTGCCATGGATTTTTGCGTTTCGGATGCATAAACACTCGAGCCGTGAATCTTGGCTGACCTCCTGATCGGATCGGATTACGATTCCTTACTTTGATGCATTTCAACTGGCTGGATCTTCTAAACTGCCAACATATTTTTCATCACGTGACCCTGAAACATCTCTGGTTGAAGCAGTCATACGTCGCTGATAATCTGAAAATGTCTCTTCTTCATTTACTGAAAATATATTTTCCAAATTTTAGAATAAAAACTGATCCATCAGCACTATAAAGCCTTGGGCGCTGTTGGCTGAGAGCGTTTAGAAGTTCCTCTTTTCCTGCGTTACAACAGTTCAGACGCTGGATCCCAGAAGAGCTCGTCTTGTGTGGGAGTGTTCAAACATCTTCAACCACGCAGAGCTGTGATTAGCACACTCAGAGTCTGACTCCTCGTAACCGCTTCTCCGGAGACGTTTATATTTGCCTTCGCCGCGGGTGGCGGCTCAACGAAAGGCCAGGAGCTCCAAAGAGCTCTGAAGATCTCGCCTTCAGACTGATGAAGAAAGGAGGAATCCTGATAAGAGGACCGGTGCAGTGCCGTGTTGCTCCTCTTTTCCTGTTTCAGCTGAAGCAAATCTGCAGAATAACAGGAAACCAGGAGTCCCAGATGCTGTGTACAAAACAGATGTTTCTTTTTTTTGTTGTTCCAAACAACCAGGTAAACGGAGCAGAACTCACAGATTCTCATGCTCTGCTCAGTCTGCAAACAAAAACCACAGAGATTCTCCAAAATGATCCAGTTTATCAGCCACTGACTGAAGGAAGAAAAGGTTTTAATCCAGAAGAGAAAACTAAAGACTTTAATATTCATTACATGCATGTCACCCTCTGCCTCTCCTGATGGATTATTTCACTAAAACACTTTTTGTTGAGAAATGAAATCTTTCTGGAGGCAGCTTCACCATCAAACTTTGTGTTGCTAAAAGTCCTGCCAGGTTGGAATAATGTCAGACACGTCCAGGACTCGCCCACCTCAGGATTTTAACATTTTTTTACACAACGTCGGGCAGAAAATTACAAAGAGGTGGTTTTTAAATCAACGTCCCTGGAGTCCTGATCTCCATTTGAGGATCCCAATAAACCTGTGGATGCTTCTCTGACTGAGGATGTTGCCATGTTTCCAAAAGATCCTAGAGAAACTGGTCCACAAAAAAATCAGATTTTAATTAAAAACAAGTACATTTTATTCAGTTATCAATATGGCTTTCACWGAAATCATTCTGCTTGTACGGCACGTATTGAACTTTTGCTTTCAAAACTTCATAAATATGATTTTAAATGTACTACATAAGATGGGTTGTTAATTACTTATTGTACAGAAAATATGTTTTTATTATGGAGCATGAATCTGGACTGAGCATGTTTTAAATATGGAGTTCCACGAGGTTCAGTATTGGGACCATTATTCTTTTATACAGTATACCGTAAATTATTTTGCTTCTGCATCTAMTTCTACACTTCCATTGCTTTTTGCAGATGATACCAATCTTTTTATTTCAAACAAAAATATTACTACCCTCATAAATAAACTGAACGATGGTCTTTATAATTATTCAAAATGGTTTAAAGCAAACATATAAAAACAGGTTAAACTAGGCTGATGCCATGGTTTGTGTTGATGGATTCTGAAATGTCAACTTGGGTGATTTTTAAATTGATGTTGTTTGTTCCTATTTCTATTATTGTTTGGTCTGATTTGATTGGGTGAAGTTTTTATATAAACCCATCCAGGCTTCTACCACTTCCAGCACATCAAATGTTTTTTTAATAATTGTTGTATTCAATTGTTTGTGTGTTAAATAAATCAAGTTAAATCAAATCAAATACAGAGTTCTGAATCAGTTCAGCCTCTTATTGTTTTTGTTTTTTAAAGCTGCTTCATTTGCTGACTTTAGTTTGTCAGATAAATAAAAGTCTCAACTAACGCTGAGTGTCTGTTCCCAACAGGACGGCATGGGCAACCTGAGAATCACAGAGAAAGGCCTGAAACTGGAGGGAGACTCCGAGTTCCTCCAACCCCTCTATGCCAAAGAAATCCAGTCCAAACCAGTAAGTGACTCACAGAAACCCACAAAATCTGCAGAGAACTGTGGAAAATATTACAATGAGCTGAAGTTTTACCATCAAAACCAAGATTTCTAAAGAATGCTTAAAGCTTTTCAGTCAGAAATCTGCCTGAAACTCTGTATTTGGGAATTGTTTTGAAAAGATTTTCAGACTTCAATTTTCTGTTCGTCAAATTTTTTTAGTTATCGTTAAACAGTTTGTGAAATATTCCTAAAAACTTACTTCAGTACCGTAGATTTTACTTTTGCAAACATTCAGCTCACATCTTTTTTTCAGACAATTATTCTGAACAAATGTTTGATTCTTCAGGTCTCATTTCAAAAACAAAGCAGAAGTGATTTTATGACTGAAGCAGAGATTTTTATTCAATAAGACAGTTTCCAGCGTCGTCTTTCTGATCAGATCAGGCCGGTCTACAGTCGACCCAGATCATCTCTGAGGTTCTGACCCGACATTTTATTCTAAATACCACATCAGCTGAAAATCTGAACAATCATCCATCAGGTTCCCCTTCTGCTCCTACAGGTGTCCGTAAAATTATTTCTCAAAATGTCTGCTCCACAGTTTCTGAGAAGCATCCAAAATGTTTATAAGTCTTTAGCTTGCCTTTAGCTTATCTTTAGCTTATTTTTAGCTTATCTTCGACTTTTTGTGTCCCAGAGAGCAACGTTTTACTTTTTCTAATAAAAACTCAAAAGTAGCCAAAAGTAAGATGGCATATGTTTCAAAGACAAAACTATTTTCATGTTATATAATAGTTCTCAAGGTATTTCTGTGGACAAAACCTTGTAACTAAATTAAAGCTTTTTGAAAAACATAAGTTTCAAAATCCAAAAATTGCTACAAACACCAACGTTTGTCTGCTCTCTGAGAGAAAATCACATGAAAGATCTGACAGCAGTTTTACATGCGACATCCTGGAATCGAACCTGCGGTCTCAGGGCTTAAAGATGGAGGTGCTGACCACCGATTTCCTGCTGCTCCTGAAACATTTGATTTGTGATTTATTAAAAGAAAGTATAAAGGAGTAGTTAGACTGCAAACAACAAATTAAATGGTGGTTATTGATAGTTAATGATGGATAATGATGATTATTGGTACTTATTGATATTTAATGGTGGTTAATGGTGGTTAAAAGTACTTATTGATAGTTAATGTTTGTTAATGGTGGCTATTGGTAGTTATTGATAGTTAATGGTGGTTAATGGTACTTATTGATAGTTAATGTTGATGATAGATGATGATGGTTAATGATAGTTAATGGTAGGAACTGGTGGTTATTGGTATCTAATGGTAGTTGATGGTAGTTAATGGTGGCTAATGGTAGGCATCTGTGTTTTGGGTTGCAATGGTGGTTAATGGTAGTAACTGGTGGTTAACGGTAGTTAATGGTAGTTTATGGTAGTAACTGGTGGTTAATGGTAGATAACGGTAGTTAATGGTAGCTAATGTTAGTTAATGGTAGTAACTGGTGGTTTATGGTAGATAATAGTAGTTAATGGCAGTAACTGGTGGTTTATGGTAGTTAATAGTGTAGGTGTTGCACACGTCCCTTTTCTTTACGTATCCAAACTCTGACGTCCGTGTTTTAAGTCGTTATCATTCTGAGAAGCTTCCTGCTGTTCTGCAGCTTCTGCAGCAGCAGCTTCCAGGATGTCATAGAAATGAAGAGATGGGCCAGATAAGCTGAGAGGCTCGCTCCTCTGCTCCGGCAGTCATAATCTCTGCGWGCAGGTAGTGGACAGATGGCGAGATAATGCAAGAGAGGCGTGCTTTATCTCCATTGTCTAGGAACCGACACGAGCCAGGCGAAGGCGAGGGCGAATGAGCGATGGAGATGGAAGAGCAGAGAGTGGAAGCAACAATGGAGGTGGAGATGATGAATAAGAGGGAGGAGGAAGTGGTAACGGATTCAGAAACAAGAAGACAGATGGTGGAGGACTGAATTAGAGCCACTGACGAAGTCTAAAACATATTCAGAGCACAGAGCGAGAAATCCAAATTAAAAAATAACGTTGGAGTTCTCCAGAAGGCAGCTATATGTAGATGTTTGGATGAACGTTCAGGCAGCTTTTTATTTTGGCAACGTGAGGAGATCAGGATCTGATGAATATACACCATTAGCTGGAAGGAGACCATTATAGTCCTCCTCATAAAATATACATATTTATTGCTGCCAGAAGAGGATTGGAAGTGGAGATGATGTCTTCTTCTATTAAACAGAGGTGAGATGAATAAAAAAATCAGACCTGAAATATAAAAATAAAAAGAAGAGAGTGAGGAGGAGATTAAACGAGCTGAGAAGAGCGGTGTGGTCATTTCCACCTGAACTGGACTCACCAAACAAACAAAGGATTGCATATCATCAGGTTTTACACTGAGAAAGCACAGAGCTCAGACCAGGTGTTAGGGACCACTCTCAGCTATGACCACACTGAAGTTTAGCTCAAAATCTGATCTCTGTCAGATGATTTACTCCTGAACGCTTCATTAAAATCCTTCCAGTGGTTTGAGATATTTTGCTAACATGGTTGACTCAAAATTGTTAGTGCTCAAAATTWGTTTTAATGACCTTCCTAAGCACTGCTAACAAACACTGAGCTACCTGGTATTTCCTGCATAGAAACGGTGTTTTAACACATCCTCTTAACACTGAAAAGTACTTCGTGTACGACTGAATAAAGGTGAAATAAATAAAACAGAAATACTATTAAAAGTAAGAATTTTACTTGTGATGAGTAGCTGCCATCTTGAACTATCTCACCAGTGGTGGGCTGGCTAACCAAAAAGTTAGCATCACTAACCACTAGTCTGCTAAACAAGAATCTTAGCTATGCTAACGCTACACTGCTAAACAAATAAAAAAATAGTTGAAGCTAATAATAACTGCTAAGGCGACGGTCAGTATTCATCAAAAGGGAATTCCCACTGGAGTGGGCGTTCCACTTTAAATTTACAACTTGTAAGTAGGAAATTCCCACTTCCCAGTAAAACTGTCATAAATGCAGAAAAATTGTGATTTTTCATGTTGAATTTCACTGGCTTATGGCTACTTTTGAACCGTGTGCAGCTCCACCTGGTGGTGTGATGCCCTCATTTCGTGGGCAGAACAATCAACATGCATTCTGGGAAATGTAGTTTATGGTCAATGCTGGATTTAAAGCAGCTTATTTTAAGACATTAATACATTTTTGAAGCTCTTCAGGGCCACATAAAATTCCATGATGGGCCACATTTGTCCCATGGACCTTGAGTTTGACACAAACATGCATCAAAACGTTACAATATACACTCACCGGCCACTTTATTAGGTACACCACGCTAGTAACGGYTTGGACCCCCTTTTGCCTTCAGAACTGCCTCAATTCTTCATGGCATAGATTCAACAAGGTGCTGGAAGCATTCCTCAGAGATTTTGGTCCATATTGACATGATGGCATCACACAGTTGCCGCAGATTTGTCGGCTGCACATCCATGATGCGAATCTCCCGTTCCACCACATCCCAAAGATGCTCTATTGGATTGAGATCTGGTGACTGTGGAGGCCATTTGAGTACAGTGAACTCATTGTCATGTTCAAGAAACCAGTCTGAGATGATTCCAGCTTTATGACATGGCACATTATCCTGCTGAAAGTAGCCATCAGATGTTGGGTACATTGTGGTCATAAAGGGATGGACATGGTCAGCAACAATACTCAGGTAGGCTGTGGCGTTGCAACGATGCTCAATTGGTACCAAGGGGAACAAAGAGTGCCAAGAAAAGATTCCCCACACCATGACACCACCAGCCTGAACTGTTGATACAAGGCAGGATGGATCCATGCTTTCATGTTGTTGACGCCAAATTCTGACCCTACCATCCGAATGTCGCAGCAGAAATCGAGACTCATCAGACCAGGCAACGTTTTTCCAATCTTCTCTTGTCCAATTTCGATGAGCTTGTGCAAGTTGTAGCCTCAGTTTCCTGTTCTTAGCTGAAAGGAGTGGCACCCGGTGTGGTCTTCTGCTGCTGAAGCCCATCTGCCTCAAAGTTCGACATGTTGTGTGTTCAGAGATGCTCTTCTGCCTACCTTGGTTGTAACGGGTGGTTATTTGAGTCACTGTTGCCTTTCTATCAGCTCGAACCAGTCTGCCCATTTTCCTCTGACCTCTGGCATCAACAAGGCATTTCCGCCCACAGGACTGCCGCTCACTGGATGTTTTTTCTTTTTCGGACCATTCTCTGTAAACCCTAGAGATGGTTGTGCGTGAAAATCCCAGTAGATCAGCAGTTTCTGAAATACTCAGACCAGCCCTTCTGGCACCAACAACCATGCCACGTTCAAAGGCACTCAAATCACCTTTCTTCCCCAAACTGATGCTCGGTTTGAACTGCAGGAGACTGTCTTGACCAGTGGTTCCCAAACTTTTCAGCCTTTGACCCTCAAAATATCAGCAACAGTGACCTGAGCACCCAACTGTTGTTGTTGTTGTTGCCTTTGTTGTGAATATTGTTACCATGCTCTTATTTTTTTTTGACATGAAAACAATGTTTATGATCCAACAACAGTTGGGTGGATCATAAACATTGTTTTCATGTCAAAAAAAATAAGAGCATGGTAACAATATTCACAACAAAGGCAAACAAAAATGTTGTTAGTTGTTATTTTCTAATATAATTAATTCAGAAAATCTTCTCAGGACCCCACCTTGATGTTTTGGGACCCCATTGTGGGTCCCGACCCCAACTTTGGGAACGACTGGTCTTGACCATGTCTACATGCCTAAATGCACTGAGTTGCCGCCATGTGATTGGCTGATTAGAAATTAAGTGTTAACGAGCAGTTGGACAGGTGTACCTAATAAAGTGGTCGGTGAGTGTATTTTCTCTCCAAACAGTCCAAGTCATTTTAGCTTCAGAGTCAATAAGAGATAAAACTTTGGGCCACCATAGAACAGAAGGGTCTTTCCAGCAAACTCCTAACTCTTGTAAACTTCCT